ATTTCGTACAATATAGCATTGAACCCAGTGCACCCTTCTTAAAGTGATAATATTGTCACATTTTGACACCACCATGCCAAACATTTCAGCTGGAGAACTCTTCTAGTGAACATATAATCAAATGACCTGAAATTATTTAGGGAAACTGAAGAGCATCAACTAACTATAAATTAGTGCCATCTTCCTGGTACTGTCATCCCTTTCACAGTCATTTGTGACTGTGACAGTCACACGTGTCTGTTCAGATTGACAACACTGCGGTCAGGATTACTAGTATGAATCAGCATCCTGTCTCTCTGAATGAGTTTCTCTACAGAAAAAAACTTGGAAGTTCAGATATTGAATAAGGAACAAAGATTTTATGAACATCTTATCTTGACCTGTTTTCTACTTTGGCAAATGGATAAACTGGTAAATTCACATGGTTCTTCTCCCCCTAGAAGCGGGCGAATATTTCCCAGGAACAATCTAGTCAAAAATGTACTGCTCTTCTACCAAAGTTGTTTGGAAGATTAAGTAATATTTAGAGATGATGTCAGCAAACCTAATTGCTAGTGTTTCTCAGTTGTAAAACAGATTTTCCATAATAGATAGGTATAGTATCTACATTAGCACTAGTATATCAGAATCTACATTAGTTCAGGTTTCATAGATGGCGTAGTGGTTAGAATGCAGTACTGCAGGCGGCCAGCTACCTGCAATTTGTCAGTTCGAATCTCACTAGGCTCAAGGTTGACTCAGCCTTTACTGACCTTCTGAGGTCAGTAAAATGAGGACCCAGATTGTTGGGAGCAATATGCTGATTTTGTAAACAGTTTAGAGAGGGCTATAAAGTACTGTGAAGCGATATATAAGTCTAAATGCTATTTCCTTTTACTTCACTTTTTCCCCCCAGGAAGATTTGTTGTTATTATTGTTGGGTTCTACATCTTGCCACCTTTCTTTTGCTAATCTAGAAATTAAATATCTTTCATGAGTGTAGGTTCTAATGGAGATATCACTATCTATATCCAGATTACATCTAGTAACAAAATTGGCCCTATAATATGGGAAACCTTGGTTTGGTTAATTCAGATACTATATAACATGAATCTTCTTCATGGATTAAGTCACTCAGCTTTCATTTCGGAAGGAATAAAGTTGTCAGCTACTATACAGCATAATTAAGATGCAATTGCTATTTTTAAATTTTTAGATAGTATTGACAATTCTGTGTCTTTTCATCTCATTATTGTGAGGTGCAAAACTTTTAAAGCTTGCATTTATATATTACAGGTAGTCCTCAACTTACAACAGTTCATTTAGTGACCATTCAAAGTTACAATGACACTGAAAAAAGTGAATTACGACCATTTTTCATAGTTACAACCTTTGTAGCATCCCCATGATCATGTGATCAAAATTAAGATGCTTGGCAACTGGTTCATACTTATGACCATTGCTGTGTCCCAAGGTCATATGATCACCTTTTGCAACCTTTTGACAAGCAAAGTCAGTAGGGAAGCCAGATTCACTTAATAACTGGGTTATTAATTTATCAATTGCAGTGATTCACTTAACAAGTGGCAAGAAAGGTCATAAAATGGGGCAAAACTCATTTAAAATGTTTCACTTAACAACAGAAATTTTGGGCCAGTTGTGCTCATAAGTTAAGGGCTCCCTGTATTTCTCTAGAGTTTTGATACATCATCTGAATGGCCATTTCGAACCCTTTGGGTGTTGTTTCTGAAGGTGGTATTTTTGATTTGGGGCTCTGCCTGCAGGTGTTCTCTTTTTCATTCTTCCTTTTGTTAATTTTGTTTTCAGCCAAACTCAGAAAATGTCCTTCCATCTTTCTGTCTAAAGCAGCAGATTTTAAGGCATGGTGTTGGCATCAGTTGTGCAACTATTTGTGTTAGCATTGAACAGAGAAGCTAAATTAAGAAATGTATCTTTCTAATTTGTTTTATTTCAAAATAAACGTTGAAAAAGTGTCTCAATTCACAATTTCCAGATGGCTGAAGGATAATAATGACATTTGGTATTAAGCCATTGACAAACATCCAGGTTTACTTCTTATTCTGTTAAGGGAGCAGCAAACTCTCCTACTTGCAAAAACAATCTTGACAGACTTGAACATTGGGCGCTATCTAACAAAATGATATTCAATGGTGAAAAAAGTAAGGTTCTACATTTAGGCAAGAAAAACAAAGTGCACAGGTAGAGTATATGTGGTAGCTTGCTCAATAGTAGTATGTGAGAGGGATCTTGGAGTCCTAGTGGACAGTCACTTAAATATGAGCCAGCAGTGTGTAGCAGCTGCCAAAAAAGCCAACACAGTTCTAGGCTGCATAAACAGAGGAATAGAATCAAGATCACGTGAAGTGTTAATACTACTTTATAATGCCACTTTATATCACTTGGAATACTGCATTCAGTTTTGGTCGCCACGATGTAAAAAAGATGTGGAGACTTTAGAAAGAGTGCAGAGAAGAGCAACACAGATGATTAGGGGACTGGAGGCTAAAACATATAAAGAACAGTTGCAGGAACTGGGTATAATGAAAAGAAGGACTAGGGGAGACATGATAGCAGTGTTCCAATATCTCAGGGGCTTTCACAAAGAAGAGGGAGTCAAGCTATTCTCCAAAGCACCTGAGGGTAGGACAAGAAGCAATGGGTGGAAACTAATCAAGGAGAGAAGCAACCTAGAACTAAAGAAAAATTTCCTGACAGTTAGAACAATTAATCAGTGGTACAACTTGCCTCCAGAAGTTGTAAATGCTCCAACACTGGAAGTTTTTAAGAAGATGTTGGATAACCGTTTGTCTGAAGTGATGTAGGGTTTCCTGCCTAAGCAGGAGGTTGGACTAGAAGACCTCCAAGGTCCCTTCCAAGTCTGTTATTCTATTCTAATCTTTCCATGGATATGATAAGCAGCTAACTTTTCTGCTAGTTGGGCCTAAGGAGGGCTGAATGTCTTTTCATCTTAAAAAGTAAATGTGATTCCATGCTTCTCATGAGTCTTTAAGAACAGAAAGTTCCAGTAATAGCTATTTTGAACAAGTTTTAAACAAAATCAGGCTTAATGGCTCATTTGGGATATATCTGCAAAATAGATGTAAATGCCACCACAGTTTGTAAGTTATATTTCTGAATATATTGAATTTTACAAAATCAGCATGAGGTATTCTGATTAAATGTTTGCTTCAGCATTTTAAGGTTTATTCTTGCCTAAGAAGGTTTTGCATTATGAGTACTGTGTAAACATCAGATTATACAGAATTAACTGCATTTATCATGCAGAGTACAAAAGATATTTTTAAAAATGATTTATCTTCACTTATCAAGTGTGTTTTCATGCCAAAAAAGCTGTTTTTTACAAGAGCAGCTGTTACTTTGTGCATATTTAATGGTTCCTGTTAAGTAGACTTGTCAATGATGCAATATTAAGATGCCAGTTTCATTCTTCTGTGTCATAATATACCTTTGAAATCAATTTCACTTTAGAAAGTAGAATGGAAACTTGAGAAAACAAATTGTTCCCCATTTCTGGGCACAGTGCCAACACAAAGAAGTGTATCTGCATTACCATGTGCTAAACCAAACACTGAAATTCTAAGACTTGTCAGAATCCCCTGTTGATCAAATTGCATGTGGTAAGCTTTTTGTGAGAATAGGTGACTGTTTTTTACACATAGGCTAATGTTCATCAACAGATTAAAGGAGAAAAGTTGCATGCATCACCTCTCAATATAAACTATATGTAATTCATTCTGATGGAAAATAAGGCAGTGGGTCTCTTTATATCAGCAATTATAATTTCTACAATCTTAAATTCTAATTCTATTTTTAAAAAACTTCTAGAAGAAAATAATAGATCATTTCCATTTTGGGAATTATTAATTTTTAGGTATTTTCAGTAGATTTAAGACATTTCTATTTCCTAAGCTTGGTCCAAATATAAATTCACCTAAAGCAAGAATGGGCATTATTTATGGTGAAGAAGTCACTATTCCACCAAAGCTGCCTTAGCACAATAATGGAATATAATTGTCACTCACAATGTTAGGCGTGCCTTCATATGTTTATCATCTAAGACAATATGTCATAATCCATTTTTCTGAAGTCTACATAGGAAAAACAAGATAGCTTTTGAATAAGAAAATAAATGGATAGTAATTGAACAGCAGAGTTCAAAATAGAAACAAGACAACAGCACAACATTTCAGCCTCACAGAAACTGTCACTGGCCTCAAATAGCAGTGGTGGAACAGGAAACTTTGGCAGCTGAATTTCAAACAATTAAAAATTACAGTCCATTACTGAAGATTTGAACATAATAATGAGCTCTTAGCCTATAATCTTCCTTAACTGATAAAGTGGCACTCAGTCTCTTCCTCTCAATTTCCACAACCATGTAAGGCTGCTAACTTTGTTTTTCCCCTCCATTTCTCCCTCTTCCACTCCCTAAATTTAAAATCCTGTAATAGCAAACCCACTCTAAGCATCTGAGGAAGTGAGCTCCTGTTCGCAATAGCTTATGCCCTAGTAAAGTTAGCTAAACTTGAAGATGCTGCTATTTTCAATGTCTACGAACACCTGACATAATTCCACAGCTGCAGTGGCATCACTTTTTTAGCTATCACTTCATAAACTTTTTCTTGAGAAATCACAAAGTCAGTATTTTTATGGGAGTGCCACAGTTTTTGTTATTTCTTTGTAAAAGCTGCTAGCATTATATTCATATTGTCCCAGGTATAAATGTCAATTTGGTTTTCTAGACAGAATACTAATAGTTTGTATTTAATCTTTCTAGAAGTGAATACTTCCAAGTGATATAGGTTTTACCACTGCACATAACAATCTGTGAAGTGACAATAACATCTACTAATTTCATACTGTATGTTTTTATGGATAATAATAGGAGCCGCTTGAATAGAGGCAACTCCAATTGCTATTAAAGATTATTACTATTTTCTGGCAATAGAAGATACCAGTTTTATTTATTAAATCCGTAGAGATTTCAAGACATAAAAACAAAGAAGATAATTTAAGAGAACCTGTCGTGGACCTGTATATGACACCTCAAGAACAGAAAGTTGAAGGCAGTCTCCCACCATGCAGTACAAGTGATGATTTCCTCAAATATACGACCTGCAACAGCTCTACAAGGTAAAATGCTCAAAGCGGGCAACTATCAAAAGAGAAAAAAATGTAACTGCTCACCAAGTCAAATTTTAAAATAGGGCTCTAAGTCTAAGATGTACAGTATAATGGGAAGAACAGGTGTTGAAGAATATAACTGCGATGGATGGATGGATTTAATCATATTTGTAATGGCCACCTGCTTTTGATAACTCTGAGTGGTATACAGTATTAAAAACAGATTGAACAATATACAGCAAAGAAAAAATTCCTATCTAGAAATATCTTCTAATCTATGGCATGCAACATTCACACAAGAAAACTTCCACCAATCTAGCCCAAGACCTGGAGGAAGGTTTTAAAGGCCCACTTAAATGAAGTCAGAAGAACACTACAAATCTCTAGGGGTATATTGTTCTAAAGAAGGCCCACTTCCTAAGTCCCACAAAATGACACTTTTTAATGAATGGAAAAAGCGTGTAAACTCTGTTGTATCATATTGGACAGGCAGACAGGACAGAATAGGCAGATACAGATAGATGGTCCGACGGATAGCTTAACTGACTTTTGTCCTTGATAGTTGACAATACATAGCAATATTTATATATTCTAATAGGGAGATGTTATAGGGAGATCCCTGTAGATACTTTAAATGATGCAATGATTTCTAATATAGCATTCAAAACTGCTATCCAGATTTCTTACTGTACTTTGGAAGAAACTTTACTTGTTTTCTCGTTTAGTGAATAATCATTTGTTTTAAGAAACCTAGCATGCATTCATAAAGAGATATACATTGATTACTCCCATTATTATGTTTATCCTCATCATTAGTGAGTATAGATTATTCTATATTCGGTAATGTCAGTAGGACATACCTGATTTAAACCTATGATTTAGAGTAAACCTAGTTAATTTCATTGAAATATACTTTCAAGTAAATGTGTTTAAAAATATTGTCCAGTTTTAAAAAGAAAATTAACTAGATTTTAAAAAAAGAAAAATCTAAAAAAGAATTTAGCATTGATTAAGGTTCTGATCTTGGCCTACTTTTTTGGAAGATTCCCTCAAATGAAATAAAAATCAGTTTCAAAGAATTATACAGTATATTGTATTGTACAGATTATTCAGAACATTTCAGTTTTTCTAAAGAAAAGTCCATTATAGTCCATTGTTAATACAATAGGGGTTTTCTGTTCTCAAGTTCTCAAAAGTTCTCAACCTTTACTTTTACTTCTTTCATTACTGTGTTGAATACTGTAGCTGATGAGCTACAAGGGTCATCACAAGTAGTTAATACTTCCATCTACCCTGTTTCCCCGAAAATAAGACATCCCCTGATAATAAGTCCAATTGGGCTTTTGAGCGCATGCGCTAAAATAAGCCCCCCTCGAAAATAAGCCCTCCCCAAAAATAAGCCCTCCCTGAAAATATTTAACTGCATGCGCAGCCGGTCCCCGCCATTTCCTCTGATTAGAGTTAGGGAGACAGAGCTGGAAATCAGGTAGGATGACAAGAGGATCCCCGTCTTGCTCCACACGCTCCAAAATAATAAGACCTCCCCGAAAATAAGGCCAAGCGCTTATTTCGGGGTTCAAAAAAATATAAGACAGGGTCTTATTTTTGGGGAAACACGATAAATAAATAAAAACTACCATATTTTTCGGAGTATAAGTTATACCTTTCCCCTCCCCTAAAAAAGGCTGAAAATTTGGGTGCATCTTATACTCTGAATGTAGCTTTTTCGAAGCTTTTTTCAGCCCTAACGAGGCGCTAACAAGGCGCTAATGAGTGAAGTGATCTTCCCAGCTTTGCCTGCTTCCTCAACTCTCCGCTGTGCTTTAATGAGGCGCTAGTGAGTGAAGCTATCTATCTCCATGCTTTGCTCCGACTCTCAGCTGTTCTTTAGAAGCTTTTTTCAGCCCTAACTAGGCGCTAGCCAAGTGAAGCGATCTCTCCATGCTTTGCCTGCTTTTCTCATTGCTGCTTCCTCTCAGCTGTGCCTTAGAAGCTGTTTTTTATCCACAAGCAGGGGATAAAAAACCAGCAAACTAATGTGCTGAAGCTGACCAGACTAAGGACGCTAGCCAGATGAATACCTGGTAGGCAGATTTTATTTTTCCTATTTTTCGCCCCCAAAATTAAGCTGCGTCTTATACTCCGGTGCGTCTTATACTCCAAAAAATATGGTACTTAAAATGCTTTGTCGTCTAAAACTGGGATTATTGTTTTCTGAGGGAGCAAACATTAAAAATAGCCTCTACCCCTCCAACAAATGAAAGGGAGTTTTCTGTATTATTGTATGGTTGGCAGCACACAAGTAGAGTTTAATAGTTAAAGAACTATTAAACTCTACTTGTGTGCTGCCAACCATACAATAATACAGATCTACAATCACTTTTTCCTCCCTTTCATTTTTAATTCTTAAAAAAAGCATCCAGTTATTGCAGTTATTACTGCAAGTACTTTAGAAGTGAACATTTAAATGCCAAATTAAATGCAAGTTTAAAGGTAATAAATTTAAAGGTAATAAATTTATATTGGCATAAAGAATAATTGTCTATTTGCTCTTTAGAGGCTTCTGAAGAGATACCAGGAAAGTGTAGTCAACAGAAAAGACTTGAGCTGCATTTCCAAAATTAATGAGGAACTAGTTGTGACTGAGCAGCTTTAAATTTCTGCTGCCAAATATTTTGATGAATCACTAGCAATCTATATAACTATAAAGATCCCTAATTTCTTCATAAAAGTGTTCAATATTTTTTACATTTCTATGCCCCTAAGGTGGCTGAAATTGAGTCTTCCAGTGATTAAAATGTGGACTACTTTTGAATATTTTGCTCTTGATCCATATTAGAGGACCGAGGTGAGGTGAGGTGAGGTGTGTTGTGCTGAGAGAAAGTGATTGACCCAAAGTCACCCAGCCAGCTACCATGCCTAAGGTGGGACTAGAACTTAGTCTCCTAGTTTATAGCCTGATGCCTTTAACCACTAGACCAAATCACTCGCACCAATAAGATAAATTTATAAACAGTTATATCTGTTTATAATTGTTACTGAGCAATTGCTGAATAAACTGAAGTAACTACTATATTATTACTTCAGTTTATTCAGCAATTGCTCAATAACAATTTACCCATTATAATCCTGATTTTCATGCCCAGTTATTCCTACTCAAGAATTATTAAAATAACACAGTCTGTGTGTTATTTTAGTTTACTTCAAGTGTATATGTAAGGAAACATGATTGTGTGGTCAAAACTCTCACCTGTCAAAAAGTTGATTAGAAAATATAAAAAGATAGGTTACATTGTTGGAGAGAAAGTTGAATTTTGAGAAGCTATCGGAATTCTGTTTATCTGCTGGCAGATGTTTAAATTTTTTATTTCTTTGCAGGTGTAATATATTTTCCAGAGATCCTGTCTAACCATAGAAGACCAATACATCTTTTATCCTTTCAGTATCATATTTAGTATCTTCCAGTAGGACTTTTTTTTTTGCAGTAGACATTATATTACTAAAACTCCTTCAACTTTTCATTTGTAAGAATAAGGCTTTGTCCCAAAGGTGCTTTTTCAAAAGCAACTGGACTTTGTTTTTTCTTGAAGACATTTTGTTTCTCATCCAAGAAGCTTCTTCAGTTCTGAAGTCAGAACTGAAGAAGCTTCTTAGATGAGAAGCGAAACATCTTCAAAGAAAAACAAAGGAAGTTCAGTTGCCTTTTGAAAAAGTACCCTTGGGACAATCATGACTTGGATGACTGAGAATCTCTACAGACTAATAAGATTTTGCAAATTTCTAATGTGTGTAAAAATATTTGAATACTTGTTTATGCAGGGTACTGATAGAAAGATACATTTGGAATAAAATTAAAATGATAATATTTCTGTCAAATTTCTCTCTTCCTGAATTGCTACTCCTGGGTCTTCTTTCCTCCTAATTTTTTTCAGCTAGAAAGCTATTGCAATGTGTAAATAACATTTAAGGTGTGTCAGAAAGATTGCACTAGAAGATCAATGCATGCCAAACAGTCACAATAAATTAATCTTGATTCATAGTAGATTGGACAATCTACTTTATCTGGGTAATATCTGCCCATTTTCACCTGCTTATAGTCTTGGAAATGGATCAGTTTTCAGCATTAAAAATAAGTCCAACTTGGGAATCTTAGGTTTTGACAGAAATTGGTCAATGAAAGCTGGAAAAAGTTTCTAGAATTTTGAATAAAAAATGTACCACCAAGCCATTTGAGCAAACAAATGGAAGAGGTTACAACAATTTGGCAGCTGAAAAAGCAATTTACAGTTCACCAAGGAATCCACAACTATGAGTAGAAAAGCTGATCAAGAACTACGGGAAGATAATGGAAGTAAAAAGCAGAACAGAAACTCTCTTAATCTAGTCTCCAATGAAGTTCCTTGGTTTCTTTGCCTGAGCCAATAAAGCTTACTGGGATGAGATATCTGCGTCACTGTAGTTTAAGCATGGCTCAAAGAGAATTATAAAATTCCTATAGATTCACAGTAGCTTGCATAAAATTAACGCAGTTCAGTTCAGTTATTTTTTGCTTCTAAAATGAAACAATAAATAATCCATCCAAACCAATCACTGATGGATTTGACTTTATTGTCTTCTGATAAAGTGTGGTATCAGGGTTCCATTCTGTGTTATCTTTTTGCTTTCATAATTGGCCCTTTCAAAATGATGATAAACTAATGAAAAAGGGGCAGAGAGGAAACTGATGATCTCAAGTATTCCAAGTTCTGTTCTCTTTCATCATGATCCTAAATGGACAATAACATAGAATAGTTTTTGAGATTATTTAAATGATATCTCTCTGTTCTTCACAATGGGAAGAGACAGGTTTTTACTGTTCAAGTTTTTGAAAGACAATTTTCATTTTATTTTTTTCCCCTTTCTAACACATTCAGGATGTATAGCTATAGAGGATTTAATATTTTTCTCAATGAAAAAATTAGAATAGGCAAATTGCCCTGAAAGAATGTTTTCCTTAATTCTGATTACCAATTACAATGTACTTGCTTGTACAACCAGAAGACATAAAAATAATTTATTTATAAAAAATAATAAATATCTTACTGTGGCACTATGTATGTATAAAATATATATATAAAGATATACCCCCTAGGTATGGAGGATTCTGTTCAGTCAGGTCATGCTTCAACAAATAGAATTAAAATCTTCCTTTGAAGCCTTTGGAAACCAATTTAAATAATACTTTTGATATTATCCTGTTCATATTCTATGGCAAGATAAAACCCTTTTTCCATTCCCAGAAACTCCATACATAAGTAAAATGCCATATGTGGTATCTTATGAAATTTAGAGATTTTGTTATGTTACTTTATTTGGATCAGCCAAACCTAGGTTTGATAAACTTCTTATAAAGACAGATTTCTTTGGTTGTCATTAAGGTTGTCCCACAAGTTAATTTTACAGGAATACATAAGAAATGTTATGCTCTAATTCAGGGGTGTCAAATTGATGGCCCATGGCCCGGATGTGTCACTCGCAGGTTATGCCCACCCCAGCTCCGCAAAGGGGGAAGATGTTGTGATATGTTACATGATAGCAACATGATGCCGCAAGTTTGACACCTGTGCTCTAAGTATTATTAAGCATACCATATGTGGGCTGAAAAAATCTGGATGACCACTAGATGGCAACAAAGGATATTGTGTTTTAGCTCTTTGCTGCCATCTTAATAATCTTCTGATTATTTGAGTCGTAAATATGGAATGCCTTCAATTTTAGTTTTGGTTTTTCTTTGGTAGGGAGGGGGTGTCTGTCTGTTTTTAGTTAGACTGGACATTTGATTTATTTTTCTTACTGCTACAGTTCTTGCTATTTGTAACATTTTTATCATTAAACATAGTTTATAAGTATTTTATATACATAATTATGACTGTATTAAAACGTATCAGAACCAGTGTAGCATAGTGATTAAGGAACCTGGTTAGAAAGTGGCAGACTGTGAGTTTCAGTCCCACCACAAAGCCAGCTGGTTGTCCTTGGGCCAATTATTCTATCTCAGCCCAAAGTAGCCAGCAATGGCAAATCTTCCAAAATCTTGCCAAGAAACCTTTAAGGATTTGTCCAAGCAGTCACTAGGAGTTAAAAAACTGACTTGAAGACAATAATAATTAAAACACATCAACACATTTAATCATGGGACCTTTGGATAATGCTCCTTCTTGCTGTTCCATTTTTTCTAGTGAAGTAGACAAAAGGGAATGCGAGTTTTTGACAGACTTTTGTACTAAACTGGAAACGGACAAAACTGCATGTCAAACAGGTAAGGGTGCTATAAAATATGTATAATGAAAAATGTGGTAGAAATTGGTGACTTGAGTAGTAGAGTTTTCCAATCAGAAATTTTGAAAGTTGTGGGGAATCTACATTCAAAACAGATTGAACCATTCTATTTGATGGGGCAATGAGGACCCAGATTGTTGGGGACAATATGCTGACTCTGTAAACCGCTTAGAGAGGGCTGTAAAGTACTGTGAAGCGGTACATAAGTCTAAATGCTATTGCTATTGCTGTTTGCTACTGGAGGGGGGGCAATGCTTAAAAAACGGAGAGGGGGGCCTGAATGATTGAATTAAAATTTGAATTATAAAGTAATGAGGTTAACATGACCTCTGCCCAGGGGTGAATGCTCCCGGTTTGGACCAGATCGCTCGATCCAATAGCGATGGCGGCGGGTGGTTCGGAGAACCAGTAGCAAAAATCCCTGCACCACCACCCCCCAAGCCCAGCTGAGCTGCACTATCATCAGAGGCTTTTTTTTTTTACTTTTAAAAGCATTTTTTCTACAACCTCTTCTGCTGAAAAAATGCTTTTAAAAGTAAAAAAAAAAAAAAGCCTCTGATGATCGCGCGGCTCAGCTGGGATCATCAGAGGCTTTTAAAAGCATTTTTTCTACAATCTCTTCGGCCGAAGAGGTTGTAGAAAAAATGCTTTTAAAAGTTAAAAAAAAAAAGTTGGCCACGCCCACCCAGTCACATTACACCCCCCACCAAGCCACGCCCACAGAACCGGTAGTAACAAATTTTACATTTCACCACTGCCTCTGCCTCACCATTCTCTGTGTAGGAACAGCTCCAGAAATAACTGGAATATCTAACTCCCAAAGAGATGTTAGACTAGAGAAACTGACAAGGAGTAGTCTTTAGTCTATTAAGGAATCCCTTCATTTTTCCCATAGACTCTCTCTGGATCAAATTAAAAGCTGATTTGCAATCAGTAAAGGCTGTAAAAAAGAGACATATGGGATGGGAGGAATATTTTTCAGTTAAATGGTAAAGGACAATATCTAGACTTGACTGCCCCCCCCCCCAAAGCCAGCCTATTCCTCAACAAAAATAGGTTTATTTTTGATCCAATTCCATTATTATAGATAGACATTTTACTGTTTTTCCTGTTTCAAACAAATTAATTGATTTATAGTGGGCAGGGTCTATTTCCTTTAGAAAGGTATATAGAAAGGGATAACAACAACACTATTCCAGTCCAACAGAAAACATACTGAACTGTTAATGGTCATAAATAAAGCAGTCATCACTGGAAGCTACCAATTCTTGTTCTTTCTTCTGGGGAAATAAATCCACTTCCAAGGGATTCTCCAGGTCATAATTGTATACCATAATAAAGTCCTTAAGCTCTGATGTAGATACAGTAAAAGCAGCCAGCCAGGAAGATCATTTTGAGAGTAAGTCACAACTGGATTATTTAATTATTCCATTGTGAAGATACTCTGGAAATTATTCTCACAAGATTCTACAGATATTTGGCAGGTTAAACAAAAATCTCTATCATTAGAGCTGTTAACTAGATGCCATATTCAAGATGGGCTCTTAAGCTTAGCTGCAATTAAACTTCCCCATTTCTCTTTTACAGTTTACCTTTTCTTTGATATTAATTTTTTTATTCTAGAAAGAATTGAAATCAGGGGTGAAATTCAGCAGGTTCTGACAGGTTCTGGAGAACCGGTAGCGGAAATTTTGAGTAGTTCGGAGAACCGGCAAATACCACCTCTGCCTGGCCCCCGAGTGGGATGGGAATGGAGATTTTGCAACATCCTTCCCCCAGGAGTGGGGAGGGAATGGGGATTTTGCAGTATCCTTCCCCTGCCATGCCCACCAAGCCACGCCCACCAAGCCACACCACGCCCACCAAGCCATGCCCATAGAACCGGTAGTAAAAAAAATTAAATTCCACCACTGGTTGAAATACACTGAAAGTGCTGTTACATTGGAAAGCATTTGCTACCAGGAGGAGAGAGCTTTTTTTATTTTGATAAAGTCAGTATCAAACCAAGATTTAGGTCTGCTGTGAGGAAAGCTGGAACAAACTGAGAACAATCTTGATAGAGAAGAACAAGAATAAAATATTGATAGTGTACCTATTCCTGCTTGCCTGCTTCTGTCTTAAGCTTTAATAAATTAATTAATTTAGGATGTTGTTTTTGTGGAAGTCTAATAATTTTTCATCCAGAAATATGTCACTTCCTTTGATGAAGGGTCACATTCCTCAAAGTGGATATCTCAGGACCAAAAAATACTTTGGGGACTTGTGTCTCTGTGGGGCCAATGTAGTTCATGGAACTTTAGGTTGTGTGCCTCTGCTTCATTTTTAGCTCTGTCTGTGGGTCACAAATAAGACAATTCAGAGCAGAGCTATCAGAAATATATTCCTCACTTGATCAATCCACATTTTTTCTCTGAATCGGTAAACTACATTAAAAAACATTGTTTAAGTCGTGCAAAAGCTCTGACTCTTATTTATCTGTTTTGTCAAAAACCACAGATGGCTACAAGTCATGTGTAAATGTTCCCAAAACAGGAAACACAGATAGAAATTAATAGGAAGAAAAACGTAATCAATAGTGCAAAAGGAAATCATCATGTGCATTTTATATTTATATAAGATAAAACAAGGTATGGATATTATTGGGTATACTAGATATTGGATTATTGGATATCAGTGGGCATACTGAAAATACTGAAGAAGAAAAAAGATGGTAGTAGGAATAAGTTGGTAATTGGGATGAGGCTGTTCTAGAAAAATAGTCAAGGGTGTTACTTTCTAACAGTGAGCCGCATTGGACTCAGGATTGCTGCTGAGTGGACATGCACAGGATTGTATTATGAAAATCACCTTGCATGCTGAAGATTTACCACTCCAAATAATTAAATGAGCTTCTTTTGCTTAAAGCTTGATTTGGCACAAAGGCAAGTTTTTAGGACTCCACCCAGATTTCCATGCATACCAATAATAAACTGTAGTACACACCTGGCACATGGCAGAGAATATTATTCACCTGGTACTTGCTACTTCAACCCCCAAGAAAAGAAAGATGTGAAGAAGATAAGCAGAGCTGCTTGTTCAGCCTTTGGGAATATGAAATTCTGCATCTTGACTGTTGCCCTTTCTACTGACATAGAATTGTTCTTGAGTAGTAAACTGAAGATATTACACGGAGGGGTCCTTGGTGCTCTCTGAGCTTATTTGTTTTCTTGCAGATGTTTTGCTATCCAAACTAGGTAACATCATCAGTGCATTGATGACACTACCTAGTTTGGGTAATGAAACATCTGGAAGAAAGCAACCAAATTCAGAGAGCACCAAGGACACCACATTTCAACTCTGAGCTACAAATATTCTTCTTTATTAGATGCCACACTTTTGTGTAAATGAATGAGATAAGGTCATTAGATGTCCTGTTACCAACACATTTATTAAAGTATGTTGTCTCTACTATCTGTATGGGGTTTTTTTCACATAAAGGGGAAGGTTTTCATGAGAGGGGAGGGGTAGGCATATGTAGAAAGCATACGGAGGGAACAGCAATGATGGGCTACTCAATGTATACACACTATCTGCAGTAATCATATATAATTAGTAAATGTATTGCTTATATCCATAGGTACAGTATGTGTACACATGCATGTAGAAAAAAATATGCAATATTTAAAACATTAAAAAGTTAGTTAAATTATAACCATTTTATATGATTTCCTAATAATTTACTTAGATATTTGTTTTGGGTTTTTTTTAGAAGTTTTTCAGGAAGTGCATGAGGAAGAGGTAAGCACTTTTTTCATTTTCTAATATAAAATGACGAGTCTCTGTCCCCAAAGGGCTTTTTTTATTATTTCTAGCCAGCAACTAAAAGCCTTATGAAAGTTAAAATATAGCAGATTTCAATGTTTAAGTCAATATGTTCAAAATTATAGTTCATATCTTGCCTAAGAGTCTCATTTTAAGGATAGTGAAACTATATTTGAAAATCATGTTGGAAATATAGGAGAAAATATTAATTGGTTTCTGTTTTATTATTATGGCACTTGGGATAGCAGAAAACTTTGTTATAGAGAAAACTATGTAAAACCATTTTAATGTGCAAGTCTTGGGTTTGTTATAAAGGTCAGCTCATTTGTTCAAAAGTCTACTTTGTGTTTTTTACTTGCATTACTTTAATATAAAGACTAGACTGGCACCAATTAGAGAATATGGGCATAAAATATTAGCTACCTGTTGAAATGCAGATGTTATACAACTTTATATTAAAAAGTCTCTTTGTTAGTACAAATATACTATCAGATAGAGCTGCTAGTCTTTTTTCAAGATTGATTTATTCTGACATGTCAAGACTTTTTAAAAAATCTTAAAAGTTTTACTTGAACTTGTCATACAAATAAGCCTGAAGCAGCTGTTGCTTGCACATTTCTCCTGCCAAAATGTATAACTTGTTACTGAAATGATTAGAACATATGCTAAATATTGCATTATGGCAAGTTTCTTTTTGTTTCAAGTTCCACACCTACAGTAGTTTATTTCCATCAGGAAGCTGGAAACATTTGTAGATTGTTATAAAAAGTAATTCATCATTGTAAAGAAATATGTTCTTTAGTACAGGATTCATATTTTAGGCCCGTTATAGTATATTACTTACTAAGGCCATAAGTACTAAGGCCATAATTGCAAAGGTCCACCTTTTTTCTCTCAAAAACATATATTTGACATTTGACTTAAAACTTGTATTTTTAAACTGAATTACAAATACCAGTAGTTCTCTCGTTTTAAAACAAATTCAGGAGAACAATCTCTACCTTTTGCTAGCTTTACTTATATCAGAATGCTGACCTTCTGCTTTTGTTTCTTGAGTTGATATTTTTAAGGTAATCCTTTCTTTAGCAAAAAAAATTGAATTTATATAATATGATTCATATACTATTATTATTTTCCCCTTTCTCTTTCAGCAGGAAATTAGAGGAAAGAGCTCTATCAAAGTAGTGCATTTTGGTCTGGTATAAACCAGAAATATTGATGCATAATAAGAAAATTAGGATTCTACAGATCACTTGCTGTGAAAAACAAGAAGCTTTCAACTAACATAGATTCTGAAATCATGTTCAAATAATTCACTAGTAAATATTAATTGCTTGCATAAATGGTTAAATCAAGGGGAATTAAATGTGCTGGGCTTTGCCTGAAGCTTACTATTTTTAGGTCAGTCATATAATGCAGTTACCTACAGCAAGGAGTCTTATATTTACTGTATTATTTGTATTTCCTAGAGCAACATATGTGATGACTATCACTATCAACATTATATATTTAGAATATCATAAGGATTTTTTGCCCTGGGTGGAAACTATCTCATGAGCCTATTTTATATTAACTGAAGGATTACCAATACTTGTTGATACTATAAAGAGATAATAAACTATTTTAATAATGTACTTTAAAAATTGATAAATAGATCTGACTAGATTTTACTTGTATTACTAAACATAATTCTATCACTTTCTTTACATTTTTGTATTTTTATTTGGGGGGGAGTAATAGATTTTGACTAAAGCATATCACCTAACTACAGTTACTATAAACAATGTAAAAACTACGAGGTTTACTTTGGTTCTTACCATAACTACAATGTAGGTGAAAATAAAACAAAAGATACGGTGGAACACATACATGCACACAAAAATAAGCTGCAACTTTACCTTAAAAAAGAGCAATACATATTGTTGGTGGTCCAGACTGAGAAGGTGGTGAGTCTACTGCTAGTTATACTAGAAGACTTATATTATCATAGTGTTGTCTGAATAGTTTTAAACTGCCCAATTATTGTTCCACAAATTACTTTTTAAGGAGGCTTCCCCATCAAGTGTCTAAGTCCTTAACCAAAATTTCCAAAAAGATTACAAAAACTATATTACCAACAAGATTATGAAGACACATACATTAATAAAATCCTTATCAGTTGACAATATCAGACACTCATTATGTGTCATTGGGAGTCCGCCCTGAGTCATTGGGATTTGGCAACTAATTACATGTATCAATTAATAAATAAAACCATGAGGGGGGGGTTTCAAGGTATACTTCATACGAAGCTGAAAAGTGAATTTCTTCTTAAATAGTTTGGAATATGCCAACAATATCTTCCTGCCATCAACACCAAACTCATTGTGGATGCTCAGAAACTTGAGAATTGGCAAGAAGCCAGACTAGCACAGGATACTCCCAGTGATTAAGAAATCTGAGTTTTTCAACATTTTCTGTTTCTCTTTACATTATATGAATTTCCAGATAAGGCTGTTCAAAAGACATTCTAACAATGTTGTAAAAATAACATATACACACAAGATATACATACAAGACACTTCGCAACAAATCTTTAGTGGTTGCTCTAATGTTCTGAGAAATTTTTTCCCATAATAATCATTATTTTGTTTTTAATTCTTCAGAAATTCAGATTTTTAATCTTTTGCTTTTTAGGCACTAATGAAAAATAGACTGAGAAGGAAAACTTATATTACTTTTGGCATAACTACATTTCACTTCACATGGTTTTTTTCTGCATCACAATATAATCTTTCTTTTGCAGTCTGAGGAGTTAGTTATCTTGATTTTAAAATCAGAATTATTGGAAGTTAAAATGACTCCTTGCAAAATAAAGAGAAGGAAAAGTTTTATTTTTTTTTCTTTTAATAGAGGCTTTGTTTGATCTGCCTTTTAAATAGACCATCCCGAGAATTAAAAATAAATAAATTATATATTATATAATTTATATAATATAATGTGAATAATGATTTAATGGGAACAAAGAAGAAATAAAGCATATTTAACAATAAAGGTCAGATAAATGCATTAAATACATGCTGAAAATCCATGTATCCTCAGTAGCCCAGTAAAATACATAAAATTCTGAGTATTAAGATAATTATTAGTACATGGAAGAAATATTAATAAACATGAATCAATAATAATGATGATAGTTATAATTTATTAAATGGATTAATCATATACTATGTTATATGGTTTTGTATTAAATGGTGTGTATGCATTTTTCTCATTTAAGAAGAACATATGGTTCATAAAGCATTATATGTAAATGCACCTTTTTGAGAGATCAACTCCAACAAAAGATCCAGGGGGCCTTTCACTTATTCACCCTAAGGTTGCTGACATATGTTACTTGCCCACAAAGCTATTTTGCTGAATTTCAGCCATATTTCTGTCAGTTCGTGTGATGGTCTGTATGAGAGATTAATCTGACACCAGACAGTGATCCTTAATCCTTCAGTATATCATAATCTATTTACTTTGCATGCTAAGAGGATTCTGATTTCAAAACACACAGGAAGTGATGCTGGAAATGTACAGAAGATCAGGAGTGTCATTTCCTAAAATCTCAGTTTTCAATTAAAAAAAATAACCTTTACGGGTTTCTTGTATTGAATGGGGATTTAGTAGAAATGGAACATGGGCTTTTCCCCCCGTTTTTATGCAGCCCTACAATTGTGTATACTACACCACTCTGCATATGCACATGCTTATTGGATGTGAGACATTAAAAGGAAGCCCCCGTATTGCAGAACGTATCATCTCTTGGTTATTTTATTTATGTGGAAATGTGTATACACCAGATCTTTATTCAAAACTGGATAATATGTCAAAATTTAAATTGTTTGCTTATTAATTTTTTATTCACCCATTTCTCCTACAAGGTGACTCTGGGAGGCTTACAGGTTAATACAAATAAAATAATAGATAAAAGATTAAAAATGTAAAAGAGTTAAAGTATTATCAAGAATTATACTAAAACCATGCTAAGAGAGTTTAATATTTTTTAAAATCTCATCATGTAATTAGTAATAAACTGTTCAAACAATTAAAAAAATACAGCCAATCTGCCTATAATATGGTTGAAATAACTAAAAAGAATGTAATATCAGTTACAGGGGAAAGATATTTTAATGGATGCATTACACACACACACAAAAACCCTAGCTTCTTGATAAGCAATATATCTCTTCCTAATGGAACTCTAAAGGTTGGTAGATTAGTTTTATCAAGATTTTAGCAAATAGGCAGTATTTGGGTCTTAAACCATGTAAAATGAACATTTTGAATTCAGAAACATGGAATAATTATTACAGAAGTTCTGGTTTCCTCAAAATAAGGCAACTGGAATCCAATCCCTAATTCTGCAATAATTGAAATTTATAAACAATGCTCAGGAAAAACCTTATAACAGGGGTATCAAAGTCAAGACCTGTGGGGCGCTTAGATCTGGCCCGCAGGGCCACTCAAAACAGGAAAGGACCTGCCTGCGGTGACTCTTCCAGCAAAAACGGAGCTCAGGAGGGCTGCAGGCAGCTCTTATAAGGTCCATTTTCGCTGGCAGAAGGTTGCAGGAGACTGTCATAGACAAAAATAGAGCTCAGGAGCCCGTTTTTGCTGGCAGAGCACTCGGGCCATCACAAGTGCCCCCGACACAAGTGATGTCGAGCTGGCCGTGCCCACCCTGACTCCCCAAGGTCAAACACAACCCTGATGCAGCCCTCAATGAAATTGAGTTTGATACCCAATCCAGTCTGGCCAATATGGATCTCTATCATCATGATATTCCAGCTCAACCCAATTTACCGAGGCCTAAATTCAATTTCTTTGTATCTGTAGCCTGTCCATTATATCCTACGGTACATACAAAATGTTAATTTTAACCTTCAGTCATCAAAAACTTGCCATGCTATTTGTTTTGTTTAATAATAAAGGAAAACATGTTCTTATAAGCCTGTACTATTTATTCACAATGGCAGCAGCATCCTAAGATCACAGGTTTTTTTTAGTTTTGCTACAAATTATTTTTAACTTTAAGATATGTTGGTCAAACCTTTAAGATTTTTTAAAAATAGGATGTAATATAATAATATACTCCACTAAGGAAGGGTCTATCTTTTCCAAAGTTGACTTACTTTCTCTTAATTATTCCAATGTAATTCACATAGTCAATATAGTAAAGAAGATGGATGGAGAATTATTTTAACTGTATAGCAAGATAAATTTCTCGTAAGACATCTGAAAAAGTATTTCATCTCCAGTGGAAGCCATTAGTCATTTCCTCTCACTGATACATCTGCAGATGTTTTACTGGTCATTTAAGATGGATCATCAAATGAATGAGCCTAGGTAGGAAGAAAGGAATTTAGCCAAACTGGCCCCTGTAATGTGATATATATTTAAGAATGCAAAAAGTCTCAAGTTCTTGCTAGATTGCCTTCCTTTGTATGCATTTTCCCCATATAGATAATAATCAAATAATGTCAAACATGTTCTTAAATTAAATAATCCTTAATTCTTAAATTAAATCATCCTTCTTCTGCCTTAAAGTAGCATGTGGACTACCCAAAAGATGTAAGGAAGAAAATACAAAATATTTGCATCAGTGGCAATTTTTCTATAATATGAAAAGGCATGTTAGTATATATACTGTATATATGATATTAATCATTTTGAGATGCATATATCTAACTGGATTCTAGGTCAAAGTAACTTTGATAAGGTTGGAATTTATATTAATTTAATTTTGGTATTCTAAACCACTTGATTTGGCTCAGAGAAAGCTTGATAGAGTTCTATCTAATTGCTTACCAAATTACATATTTGTAAAAGATCAGCATTCAAGAATAAATACTGTAGTTATTCAGAGACCAGGTTTTTGGGCAGAATTATTACTTTGTTGTTATACTAGATCTATACAGCTTTCTTCCAGGTAATACAACTGGTTGAAGAATACTTCCAACTCTCTTTATATGACCAATAATAATGCAAGCCATAATACTGTATTTTTCAGACTATAAGACGCACCTAAATTTAGAAAAGGAAAACAACAAAAAAAGTTTTTGGCCTACCTTTTTTCAGGCCTTTTCCAATCTTTTTTCAGCTTGTTTCCAGGGCTTTTTTTGACCCATTTTCAAGGCTTTTTGGGGGTTGTCTTCAAGGCTTTTTGGGGCTGCTTTCAAGGCTTTTTTGGCCCAATTTTTTTGAAAAAACGCTGAAAAAAGCCTCAAAAATGGCCCTAAAAAGCCTCGAAAACAGGCCCCAAAAGCCCCCAAAATGGGCTGAAAGCTTCAAAAACGGGCCCCAAAAGCCTCAAAACAGGCCAAAAAGGACCCCAAAAGCGGGCCAAAAAAGCTCCCAAAACGGGCCAAAAAGCCTTGAAAACAGGCCAAAAAAAGCCTCGAAAATGGGCCAAAAACAGGCCTGAAAACAGGGTGTGCGGAGGCAAAAAAAAAATGGCTGGTGGGTGGGCGGGGCTTCAGCTGTTTTCAGTCTATAAGATATACAGACATTTTCGCCCCCTTTTGGGAGGCAAAAAAGTGCCTTTTATTGTCCAAAAAATACGGGGGAATTACTCTACCTATAATTATTCACAAATTATCATTCTCTTCTGATTAATACCTTCCATTGCAACTGTAAATTCTATATGGATTGCATTTTCCTCTCTATAATGCTCAAATCTTTTTTAGTCTTCTGAGTTAAAGTTCAGCTAAAAAGTACAAGGATACCTGGTTTATCTCCCTTCTTCACAAAAAAACAAAACTTCCCTACATTGCTGCATTTTCATTTGATATGCTGTTTTCCACTTAGGGTAGTATTTTTCTAGGCTGTAAGTTTTTGGTATATAGAACAAAGTAAACACAATATCAGAAACAAACTATGTAGTCTATTTCCCCACTAAAAAGAATCAACATACAGAATAAGAATCAGCTTCTCAGAATATGTAAAATAGTATATTAAAACCATGTATGTGAAAGTATGGTATGTTTGTGTACACTCATTAGAAAATTACGTAGGATGAACCATGTATTATTTAAATTCCTGCAAATAGTATTTATGGTCTAAATTAATTATGCCAATGACCTTAAATGAAGCCTTTTTTTAGAAGAAAAGACCTTTGTCAGCCTATTAAAGCATGCCCGACAGAATATGATCCCAATATACCAGTCTGGCTATCCATGATGGAAGCGCTAATACATCTAGATGCGCTTGAACTGGAAAAAATCATAAGGTACAAAGATATCCTAAACGAACAAGGGGACTTAAAATCGAAAAAGGAACTAAAAAATCAAGGAATCAATTTGGACTGGTGGTCATATATCCAAATACAAACGAGATACAAGAAAGATGCAGAAATATATGGATTCTATAAAGAACCTCTAGAAGTAGATCAGATATTTCTAGGGACAGATGATAAACTAATAAAGAAAATATATAGCTACTTATTGAATTTTAAAACGGAAGAACACGTAAAAGAAACTATGATAGTATGGGCCAAAAATTTTGGATATACTATAGAATTAGATAATTGGCAAAAACTTTGGGAAAGAAACTACAAACTAACAATGTCAACAACATATAAAGAAAACCTTTACAAAATGTTCTACAGATGCCATTTGCCACCAGCAAGAATGGCAAAGATGTTCCAAAACATATTGCCAGAGTGCTGGAAATGTAAACAGATACAGGGTTCCTATTACCAAGTGTGGTGGACCTGTCCATGGCGAAAATATATTGGTTAAAGATAAAAAGGTGCTTAGAAGAAATGACAAAGCAACAAATAGATTTAAAACCAGAATTGTCTTGCTTGGTATATTAACGGGAAAATATAATAAAAGAATTACATATTTAATGTTAGATGTGACAACAGCAGCGAGAATTATGTACGCACAAAATTGGAAAAACGAAAATATACCTATAGATGAAAATGTAATAAGAAAATATTAGACTGTGCTGAAATGGACAGGTTAATGATGGAAATTAAGGATAAAGAGGAAACAGTACTATTTAACTTGGGACCTATTTTATAAATGGTTAGAAAATAGAAGCAGAAGTTAGTAATTTATAATTAAGGACGATTAATAAAATAAAAGTAAATATATATATAATCAGTAATACCATGAGCAATATTATCACTGGATTATACTTGATTATAGATTAATTTGTATTACAAGGGAAGATTACATTGTATGTATGAGAAAAATGGTTATAATTATGGTGTGTATAAAACTATATGTATTTAAAAGAGATTTGATACAGACAGTACACTGCCATTGCGGAAATGGAAACATTATGTATAACAAAGGAAAATTCATAATAAAAACAATTTTAAAAAAAGAATATGATCTCAGTATTGCAAAATAATAAAATCTTTTACTCTTTCTGCGTCTTATGTGACATTTCTACCCAAAAGTAAATAGCATGATGAAGATATAAAAGTCAGTTTAAGTATAAATAGAACAACACAAATCCAATCTGAACCTAATTTTATTATATAATTATTAAATACACTAGATAAAATAATTAAGTGCCCTGAGATTATTCATATAGTATGCCAAAAGCATACTATATTAAGAGGTCACAAGGTAGATTGGGACAGATTATAAGTGAAAAAATTATGTGTGAGAGCACAGTCACCAGGATTAAGAAATGCAACCATAATCATGGTAATAACAACAAGCAACACAATTAGTGCACCATCATCCACAGTGACTAGCTTCATCTCCACTGCTCACAGACTGAGTTTCCACAAAAGTCATGCTACTCATTAAACTCTGCTCTGTGTTTTCCAATCATATATCTTTCCTTTAACATGCATAAGGTATCTTATAATATAATTAATACTAGTCCATTTTTTAACATTCAATTTAAACATTCAATTAGCATAACCACGGTTCACAGTACTTCAACCAGATCTAAAAGAATAGAGTTTTTTTCCCCATTCCCATTTTCTCATCCATGGGAAGGAATACATTGTTCTTCCCAAAGGTGTGGAACAATCACTTTCAGAGAGCTTTTGAAATTTGAGAGATGTGGTTTCCAATCTTTGCTATAAAATTTTTTCAAATTACTTCCCAAGTAATTTCAAACTACAATCTGTAAAACACCCACCTGATTTTTTTTCTACAGACCTACATATCTTGACTCACTGCAGAATCTAAGTACACGGAAATTTAACTTTGTTGAAATCAATGAAACTAAGTATAAAGTAACTGCATTGGTTTTATATTTTAAGAAATGCTGAAAAATATTGTGACATTGTCCTATGTCATTTTCATATGTTATATGTGTTACTTAAAAATTAAAATACGTGAAAAGTAGGGGGGGAAAGGATAATAATAAGCTGCTGGAAGAAGATTGCACAGATTAACTACAAACAATGGCATGAACAAAATTGCAACAGCTGTGCACTGGAATATATGCAAAAAATACCATTTGCCTGCAAGCAAGAACTGGCAGGACCACAAAACAGACAAAGCAATAGAAAATGAAGAAACTAAACTGGTCTATCTAACACTTTAGAATTCAAACAGATAAGCACTTGCCACAACAACCCAAACCTAACAATTGTCAATAAAAAAGACAAAGAAGTCAGGGTAGTGGCTGGAGAAAGAAGAATAGCAGAGAAAGAACTGGATAACATAACAAAACACAAAGACCTACAAATAGAAATAGAATGAATATGGCAAAAGAATTCAAAAGTATTACTAAGTAGTAACAGATGCCCCAAAGTATCTGGAGAACCACTTGGACACCATCAACACTGTCAAAATCATCAGTCAATTACAAAAGGCAGCTTTAGTTGGAACAGCTTACATTTTGCAACAATACCTTTAATGCCATCAAATAACATGTTTGCCTATCTCAGGCCCTTGGGAAAGACTTGATAGGTGGATAAAAATGCCAAATCCAGTCTAAACATCTGGCTGACTGTGACACACAATAATAATAATTTTATGCTATTTTAATCATTATTAGGTCCTTGGTTGGGACTTGATTCCTTGGTTAGCACTTGAATTATTACATTTCCACAATCTGAATCTATCTGTAGATTACCCAGACATAATAAAACCAAACTATTTCTGATTCCCGTCTTTTTATACATTTGCTAATTTGTGATATTTGTAAGCATCTAGGCCTCCTTAAAGTGATGCTGTAAGAGCTTATATTTATCATGGTACACGATGTGTTGTATGTATGGTAACCATTATTGTTTAAATTTGGTTAAATTTATATTATGCAGTCCTCAGTTAACAATTGTCCTGTTTAGCAATCATTAAACTTACAACAGTGCTGAAAAAGTAGGGTTACAACCAGTCCTTGAATTTGCAACCATCACAGCATCCCACTTTGCAACTGGAGCACATTTACAACACTCACAATGGCCGTATAAGCACCATTTGCGAGCTTCAACGCCAGCTTCTGACAAGCAAATCAATAGAGAAGTTGGCAGTAAGTTGCAAGTTGGGGTCCCATGATATTGTGCTTAACTTCTATGGGGGATTTGCTTAAAGATTACAGAAAAACTGATGTAAGTAGGGTGCATTCATATACTTCATTTAATAACCTCGTTGCTTAGCAATGAAGTTGCCACTTCCAGTTGTGGCCTTTAATTGAGTACTATCCGTATTGTTAGTTTTGCCACTGCTGCATATTCTCCAACTTTTAAATTTCCAATGCATTGTAATTATTTGAAGGCATTAGAAATATTTAAATGAAATACAAGTGATGAAGTTAGAAATATGACACAGCAACCTGTCACTATTCTGGTGTATCTATTGCAAGGAATTAATTATAATTAGTAGCCTATTTATTTGTTCAATTTCTATAAAGTCAGGCCCAAAATAAAATATCTTTTTTTTTCTTCTGCAGCAAATATACACAATTCATTCAGATGGATGTCTTGGGGGATTATTATTATTATTATTATTATTATTATTATTATTATTATTATTATTATTATTATTATTATTATTATTATTATACAGCATTTTTTTTCACCCTAAAATATACAAGGATGCTGCACCTCTCAAATGTGTTCCTGGTACATTAACAATCTAGGAAGGTTATTCTATTTAACAATATAAATATCTGCGAAGTATTACTTTAGATTCATTTTTGCTTAGTATTCTATAAAGAACAAAAATGGAGGGGAGGGGAGAGCTTAGTTTAATAATCCAGTACTGATCTTCTTAGAACAGATGAATTACCGTATATGTTGTTCAGTATTATAAAGGATGCTCCCAAATTAGTTTTTGTAATGATTATTCATCTGATAATTAGCTAAGGACAATATTAAGTGGCTCCAAGTTTCATGTCTTCAATTTCAAACACCAAACATCTCAGTTGTACTGGCACATGGAAGGTAACAATAAAAAGGAAATGCTTACTTGGAGGTTCTTTTCATAAGGGGGTGAGGGCAAAAGATGCTTTCAACTGCTTCTTATATCTTAATACTTCTAGATACATCATGAATGGGTCCCTCCCCCAAAAATGGATAAAACAACTTTATCCATTTTACATTTATCCATTTAACTTTATCCATGAAGTGATCTCTTAAAACATCTTGGATTATATTCTACTATAGGATACAAAGATACTTCAGAGATCTTTAATGTTCTTCAGTTCATAACACCTAGTCCAGGACAATTATGTGTTTGATTTCAAACTCACTTCTAACTAATCTCATAAGTTTAAAGATGGCAACTCCTACACATGCAAATATAATATTGTACTGTAATTGTAAAGCTAGGGAAACTGCTAGATAAAATCGGTGGAGCATTAATGAATTATTATAAGAGGATATTAGACAGGAAGCTAGGTGCAGGAGGGAATAGTGTTGGATAAAAATATAAATATTATAAAATCCAAATCCTAAAATCAGATTCTTATAATCCAGAGGTTTGAACACATTGCAACTATAATTTGTTTTAACCATATTTCCTTAGTTAGAAATTTAGAACAAAGTGGGCTTTGTGTCTA